TCTGTAGAATAAAGACCTGACAACTGCTCCTGTAAAGATTACAGCCTACAAACACACAAGGGAAGTATTAGTCCAAGAGACAGAAAGGGCCACATAAACCAGAGACTTCATCTGCCTGAGACCAGAAGAACTAGATGGTGCCTGGCTACCAGCAATGACCACCCTGACAGAGAACACAACAGAGAGTCCCTGATGGAGCAGGAGAAAGGTGGGGTGCAGAAGTCAAATTCTAGTAAGAAGACCAGACTTAATGGTCTGGCTGAGACTGGAAGAACCCTGGAAAGCATGGTCCCTGGATTCTCTATCAGCCCAGAACTAAAACAACTTCCGAGGCCAACTCTTCAGTCAGGGACTGTGGGACATAAAGTGATACTCATGAGGAGTGTGCCTCTTAGCTCAAGTAGATACAAGAGACTAAATGGGCAGCTTCTGTCCGGAAATGAGATGGGAAGGCAGAGAGGGTTAGGAGCTGGTTGAATGGTCATGGGGAATCAGGGGTGGAAAGGAGGAATGTGCTGTCACAGTATGGGGAGAGTAATTAGGGTCACATAACAACGTATGTATAAAGTTTTGTATGGGAAAAAAAAAAGATCACAGCCTAGAAAACCCTAAGGGGCAGTTCTACTCTGTCACATGGGGTCGCTATGAGTCAAAATTGACTCAATGACACCTAACAACAACCTAACAGGTCATGCAGTGGGCCCTGGTGTTGCAGTGGTTAAAGCACTCGGCAGCTAACCAGAAGGTCAGCAGTGCGAACCCACCAGTCGCTCTACAAGAGAAAGATGTGTTAGTCTGCTTCCGTAAATATTTATAATCTTGAAAACCCTATGGAGCAGTTCTACTGTCTTACAGGGTCGCTATGGGTTGCAACAGACTCGACAGCAGAGAGTTGGTGGCACAGTGGTTAAAGTACTCGGCTGCTAATCAAAAGATCAGAGGTTCGAATCCACCAGTCACTCCAATGGAGAAAGATGTGGCAGTCTGCTTCCTTAAAATTTGTTGCTGTTAGGTGCCGTTGAGTTGCTTCTGACTCATAGCGACCCTACGTACAAAAGAATGATACACTGCCCAGTCCTCTGCCATCCGCGTAATAGTTGTTATGCTTGAGCGCACTGTTGCAGCCACTGTATCAATACATCTCGTTGGGGGCCTTCCTTTTTTTTTCTCTGACCCTCTACTAAAGATTTACAGCCTTGGAAACCCTATGGGGTAGGTCAGTTCTACTCTGTTCTATAGGGTCACTATGAGTTGGAATCGACTTGACATCAGTGGGTTTGGTTTTTTGGTGTTCACTGATACATCTCAAGTTAAACTCTACCTAACACACAGAAGGTTCTCAATAAATATCTCTAGCTGAACTGTGCCTAAAACACAGAAGTCTCTCAATAAATATTTGCTATAAGAATGAATGAATGAATGTCAGGGGAAATGTCCAGACAGCAACTAAACCTCTGAATCAATAAAGTATAATACTATACTAGGTCAGAAGGAAAAGAAAGTGGCAATATTTAACTAGGTTAACACGAAGTTCCTCGCAATCTAAAGTTATCATTAAGAAAAAGTCATTTTGATAAACTGGTAATTAATAAGTTACCACTTAGCCATATGATCTCAAGTAAGAAGTTAGCTTTCAGTATTACATATTCATATCTAGTATCACTGAGGGTAAAAACTAAAAAAAATTAGGAAGTAAAAGTGAAGAAAAGGTTACGTGGATAAAAAAGTATTCATTATTGGTTACCTCAAACTTCCCCAGCCTTGTGGATCTGAGAGTAACTAAGATTTTCCTTTATCAATTTTCTCTTACTATTGTTTCACACATGAATATACAAACCATCAATATTATCAAATTTTAAATGCTAAGTAACAATACAAATCTGGCTTTGGATTTTGTTTCTGTCAAAGGTGAAAAAAAGATTTTACTTCTCTTTGCTTATAGATTTGTGTTTTATCTCCTGTCATGTTATAATTAGCTACATCCGTCTCCCTCACTATATCGTAACTCCTTGAAAACAATGATCATCTGCCTCATTGTCTCTCTGTTGAATTAGATCTATCCCTGCCTAAATAAAATACATTCCTATTAAAATTCTCTAAAGAACTGATCTAACATGTCGATCACTAATAAAACCTATAATAAAATCTTGACTATCTGTCAAAAGTAGAGGCCTAGATCATCTAATGCCACAGACTATGAAAAAATATTTTGTTTTTTAACTTTGAACTAGATTCTCATGTTTGTATTTGAACATGGTTGTATTACAGATTCAGTCTTAGGGGAAATGTATCCCTATGAATTATCAGAAACCAATACCAAAGTTACTATAATTTATTTAATGATTAATTACTTTAATGATGAAGGAAAAAAGTGATTCATGTTTTCAAAAGATCCAGTAGGAGATTCAGTAAAAACCAGTTGCCAATAAGTAGACCCTGACTTGTGGTGACCCTACGTGCATCAGAGTAGAACTGTGTTCCACAGGGTTTTCAATGGCTGATTTTTCAGAAGTGTTATCACCAGGTCTTTCTTCCAAGGTGCCGCTAAGAGCACTTGAACTGCCAACCTTTGGGTTAGCAGTCTAGCACATTAACCATTTGCACCACCCAGGGACTCCAGGAGATTAAGTAAGAGCATCAAAATGGTCTAACAAAATATAGATGGGGAATACAAAATGATTAGCTGCTTCTGTCCATCAGAAAAGGAGTGCTGGTGTGGTTTTTACACATAGCTCTAATTATTCCCTATTTCCTTTCGATCAGATAATAACTATAAATCACGCAGGAAAAAAAATTAATATGAGGAATATTTGAGTAGGAGGCTCTTTTCCAGGAAAAATCCATGATATTATAAGATATGCTCAGGATCAGAATATATTAAAAATACAACTGTCAGACTTAATTTTAAATATTTAAAGCTATTAGAAATTTACATCTGAATTCCAGTAAAATAAATTACAGTTATAATTTCACAGACTAAGTTCACTGAAACTGATTTTCTAAGGTAACAATAAATCCAAATAACTTATGAAATCACTTATAACAAAGAAATTAAAATTCAGCTCTTCAACTAGCAATGTCTTCAGAAAAAGCAGTAAGTCAAGAGGGAAAGAGCTGTTTCTACACAGAGACCTTAAGTCTCTTAAACAGTATTATACTAAAGATTTGCATTATTGTATCCCATTATTACTATTATAGATTCTATATTGAACACTGTCCATCAAAACTGCCATCTCACATTTCCGCCATAGGCATCACCTAACAGAGTTCCTCGTTCTTTTAAGAATGAAATAACCAAGTATCAACCCTGATTTAGATGGCTAACAGTAAAATACAACAGATTTGCTCTGAGTTTTACTGAACTATATTTACACATTAAAAAGTCCGGAACAGTATCACACCTCCAAAGACACCTATGCCTCACAGACTTTAATAAACTCCTCCCGTGTTTGAATTCTATACCACTAATTATAACTCTCATTCTATCACTTAATCTGAAGTAACCTGAAAACTGCACTCAAACCAAGACTATGACACACCTCCTGTCCTCCAACTTCGCCATCCACAAACTTCTATTAAACTACTCCTCTTTCCTTCGAGTCCCCCCCAAAAATTTCTACGATTACAAACATATATAAATATATATATGTGTGCATACATACATACACACACACACTGTGTATTTCAAATCCCACCTCTGCCACGTTTACCAGCCTGTATCCTTGAACAAGCTGCTTAGGCTTTTTGTGTCTCAGTTTCTTCATCTATAAAAAGGGGATAATAACAGTACCTACCTCACAGGATTATTATGAAGATTAAATGATTTAATACTTGTAAAGCATTTAGAGGACTGACTGGCACACAGTGCTTACTTTCTTTATTATTTTTATTAAATATTTTCAATATCATTTAAAATGTACAGGATTTCATACCATTATATCTGAGGACATCACAAGAATATCACTTTTTCCATAGCAGTTCAAATCCTGTTCAAATCCCTTCCACGGTTCACACTCACACACAGACACAACACACACATAAACTAACCTCCAGTGTATACTACATCAGAATCCTTAGGGAACAAACTCTGGCCTGCTAAGAACTGCTTATTGTGGAGGGAAAAAGAAGCATATGGCAAAATGAGTACTAAAGCACACATGATGCAATACCAAGTACAAAATAACAACTTGCCTGCTTCTTTTCTATAGAGGGATGATAGGCAAAGAATGATTTTCAAGGAATATTTTCTTGAACACATTTAGAATCCAGAACCACTTTGAAAAGTAACTTACTCACTTCTTAGTCCAATCCATTTACCATGAAAAAATGCTTAATTGAGGTTAGGTATAAAACATTCTTTGCATCACTCACTGAAAGTACTTAAATGATTCCGAACTGTCACTATTTTATAAATGTCACATACTTCAAAATATCATTTACTTGATAGGGAAAACTCCAAAACACATTAGCAGAGTTTCTTCAAATTCTTAATGGCCAATGAGCTCTTGTAAAGAGAACCTTTCTTATGTAAAGAAATGTTAATATTATAAACAAAAAGATTGCAGATTCTATCTGAGTTCCTCTCAATTCAGCTCTGTAAATTCACTTTCCCAGAAAACGTAGTCTAGTTTCCACATAGCTAGATATTCTTCTCTACCATAGGAACAAATTCCCCTTACCAACTTCAGGTAATGTTAGAAAAGAAAATAAATAATTTTCATAAATTTGACTTTTTTTAAGTTTCTACAGTGCTTCATATTCTGTTAATAAGTTAAATTAAAAGGCATACTTTATAATCGATATAATACTATTCAACACAAAGCTTAAGTTTTGTTTCCTTCAATATTCAAAGTACTTTTACAAAACAGGTGTATTCATAATCACTGATTATTTCCAATGCACAGCATTAGTAAAAGTACCCCACAAAATAAGAAAAACATTAAAACTCTTTAACTTTGTCATACATATGAAGCTGAAAACCATGACATTCTTACTGTTACCTTTTAAATGCTTCAGCTGGGTTTCTCTCACATTCTCCAGGTTGTAGAAGACTTTGGACTGCTGGATCCCTTAGCTTGTCCTCATATCCTTGGAGTAGTCCACTGCGGCAGATCTGGGCAACAAGACCCCTAATAAACCCTCCAACACACAAAGTATCAGAGTCCTGGGCTTTGCAGAAATGAAAGGCCAAAGCTTGGCGATGTAAACCTCTCTGTAAGCTTGTAGGTGAACTTGGCCACAAGAGCTCAGTACACAGGGCTGTCTTGCCACTGCCAGGCCCTCCTACCAACAACACACCCCAGGCAGCCCCCTTTCCAGAGGCGACACTAGCATTATTTCCAGAATTCATTACAAGGGATGGTGTGTTGACAGCACTATTGCAGCAGTTACTTTTCTCCTGAAGGCAATGCTGAAGCTTGTGGAAAACCCACTCCCTACAGTAAAACTGCTTCCCCTGCAGTAAACTGGTTTGAGCCATTTTGCAGACTTTCTCTTCCCAAGGATTAGTCATAACAGGTTTCTTATCTTCGACATTTGCTAGAATCTGGATACATCAACACAGGTCTTTATATCCATTAGGGCATAACTTGCATATTAAGTTGACTTTGAATGACAGAGTAACCAGTCACAGTAAAATTCAACAGCCACAGAGTCCACTTGCCAATAGAACGTGCATGGCTTTATTTGGCTCCTTACTCTTTGATTAGTAGAGAATGTATTAGTTCAACTGTTTAACTGATGGAAAAAATGCCTAGTTCCAAAGCTCTGTAACACTTTTCCTATGTCTTGATGGATCACATAATTCCATGGCTACATCTGGAGTTTATGTGACTGTGGATGTTTCAAGTATACAGACGAGACAACACATCTGGAAAACTGAAGAGAGAGCTCAATCTTTCAATCTGTACAAGAATGCCTCTCCAGATTCCAAGTGTTAATTCTGTATCTGAAAATTAGATTCAGAAAATGTGTCCATTACAGTAAATGTCATCAAAGAGATTACACTTATACAGTACTTAGGTTGCTCTGCATTTCTTGTTGAAGAATAGTCATTCAAAGTACTAGACCTTGACAGTTTCAGGCATCTGGGCAACAGCCAGGGAACTGCCTTAGATATGGTCTCTTATGTGGCAGAAATAACAGACTACTGTTAACAACTTTTTAATTCAAAGCATTAATAAAATGTGTTTTCAAGACAGTAGATTCTTAATGAACCTGTTCACAGGTCTCTTGGTTTTAAGATGTCTGGATAATGAACAATTTCCACGAGTAACTAAAATAAACAAACAGAAACATCTTAGTGTAAAATATCATAAATTAAAAGCTTATTTATCAAACAATACAATTTACCAGTTTAATTAATATCAAAAATCCATATACTTCATCTTTGGCACCTACATAAAGTTGGACAATTACCCCACCAAATCAAAATTACGTTTTTCTTTCTCTATTTTTGTTCCTCTATAGTTATGCTTCCCACATTTCAATCAAGTTATCCTAGATTTTTAAAATCTCACTGTAGAAAGGGGGAAAATGCTTATGCACATACAGTAACATCCTTAACTCTGGCCAAGAAGGTCTTTTGTACTAGATTGGTAGAATAGCTCCAGTTAAGGAAGAGCCATTCACTTGCAATTCAGTCAGTCCAAGGACTGTGTCTACAGCCACATTTCTTTGTTGATAGTTTGGAAAATCTAGAAGATTATCAGGGTTGTGACTGGATGGGAATTAGTTTTTTAAAAAGTGAGGGGTGTGGTATTCTTACATGAATGATAAATCCACACACAAATACAATGTGAATCCCTCCTTCTCTGCGCCAAGGAGAAAGGTTTGGGAATGAGGGTCGGGAATGGAATCTCTTACAGTGGCCGGAGAACTGGCTGCTGGGGAGAATGCCTTCCGAGGCAGGAGAGAGATAAGAACTAGAGTGCTTCAGTGCTGGTGGGTGTTTGTCTACAGTTCCGGCCCCCCGTTTCAGCTGATATAGACAAAAGGAATTCCGGGATTCCCGGAGACGGGAACTACCCTCGGTGTGTGCCGCCCCAGAGAGCCACAGGAGGGCCACCTCGCAGACGCCACGGGTGGATGTGCAGCCTGTAAACTGAGGTCTTCCCTTCCAGAAGGCTGGGAGCGCCTCCGCACCCCGCCCCGCCCCGAGACTGGGGTGTGTCTTTTGAAGGGGGAGGGGGTGCCTGAGGTCCTTGCTAATCCCTGATGTGGGGTCGCCTCCGGTCGGGGTCCAGCTCTGCGCCCCCACCCTGCACCCTGGTCCCGCCTTCGCCCGGCCTCGGCTGTGCGAGGCAAGAGGTCGGGACTGGAGGCTGGAGGCTGGAGAGGTTGGGTCAGGTCGGAGCCCCAGTCTCAGCCCCGAAGCTTCCGACCTGAAGGAGGGGCCTCGCTTCCACCGCCGCCGCCCCTCGTTACCTCGGCCCCAGCCGCCGCCGTGCCTGCCGCTGCACCTCTCAACCTCAGACACTTGCTTCGCTGAGAAGCCGCCGCCGCCACCGCTCCCTGGACTCCAACAGCAGTCGCCTCCTCCGCCCGGCCTGGGGCACGCTCCCAGCTCCAGCTCCTCCACTTGGCTTCTGGCGATTGCCAGTTGCAGCTGCCGCAGCAGCCTTGGTCGCGCTCCTCCCAACCCCCACCAACGAACCGCCGCCGCTGCCGCCGCCGTCAGGGCAGTGACTGTCTCAGCCAGCCCCGGACCCGGTCTGCTCCGCCCCGCCCCACTCCGCGGCCCCGCCCGCCCGGGCCTAGGCCCCGCCCCCGCCCCGCCGGTCGCCTTTCTTTGCCCCCCAGGCTCCGCCCTCTTTCTTTCCCCTCCCCCACCGCGCCGGCCCGTCGCCGCCCGTGCAGGGTCTTGCGCCGCCGCCTGGGACCCGCTGCCTGCGCGGCAGGGAGACCTTTTGGGGGACAGCCTTGAGGCCCCGCCTTTCTCGGGGTGGGCGGAGAACGGGGCGGGGACTGCGTTCTCACGTCCCCGAGCTCACGCGAGTCGTTGCCCCCACCCACCCAGTCACCGCTCGGCCCTGAGCCTTTCTTTGTCTTCCAGGCCGGAGGGACTCGCCGGTTTTTGGGGCCGTATCTGCCCCTATGAAGGGCAGTTGGGTAAGGGGAGTTTGCAAACCCTTGCCTCCGTCCTGCTCCTCAGCCGTCTGAGTCTTTCAATCCTTTAAATTCCGAGGGCGCTTTTTACTTTCTCAGCCTGGGACCAGGAGAAGGAAGGAAAGGACGGAGAAGATTGTTGCCAAAATAAAAATAGTAGGGGTATAGGGCAAAGTTCTCAACCGCCGCCTGAAAAGGACGTGGCCTCCACTAGACGAAGGGTGAAAGCGGGAGTGACTGAGCCTCAGGCCCCTGCCCTTCCGGATGGCTGGATGACCCTCAGGGGCCACTATTGGCAGGAAAGTCCATGGTCGAGGTCAGAATGTAGAGCCAGATGAAACGCCCAAGAGGACCTGCCCACGGGGCAGTTACTTTTGAACCAGACGCCCCAGTTGTTTGCACACGTGGACCTGGGTTATTTAGATTCCAAATTTCTGCTGGGAAAAAAGTACTGTCAACTGGCGGAGTAGGAAATGTGTTATCTTTATTATTTTTATTGTTTGTTGTAAATCTAACAGAGCTGTCCACCCCTAGTTGAATGTATTTATTTCCCCAAATATTCAGCCAGTCTCCCATCTTAGGAATTTCAAGGTATAGTTATTATTACACTTAACTAGAAAAACATAACTAAATAGATCGTGCTTGTGCTTACTATTCCGTACTGTTTATTCCCAGTCTATGAGGCATTGAGGCTTGTTGATCTTAATATTCAGCTAAGAACTTTAATTCATGTACCCTGAATTTTGGAGGTCTTTTCCAAAACACCAGCTTAGGCAGAACAGCATAAATTGTCCAGAATTAGAGAGATAAAAATTGACTTTTAAAAAATGTACGACTTTGAATTATGTTTGCTTAAGCAATCTTAATTACCACTTAGCTTGTTTACCATGCAGCTTTATGGTCATTGAATACGTTGACTCCTTCAATTTCGTGTTTGTAGTTATGTTCAGAGAAAATTTTAAATAAGAAATATGTGCTTCATATTATCATCCTATTGAACCATTTATTAGTATGAAAAGTATTTTCCCAATAGAGAATAGAGTGAAGTTACAGAAATTTTTGGTTAGTGTGCTTATTTTTTTTTTATTGCTGTACTTTAAGTGAAAGTTTACAATTCGAGTTAGTTTCTCATACAAAAATTTATACATACATTGTTATGTGACCCTAATCGCTCTCCCTATACTGTGACAGCATAGTGTGCTTATCTTTTTAAATAACAACCACCATCATGCAATACTGTTTTTAATCACATCACAGTAACTATGCTGTAATTAATCTTTAGACCTATTTAGAAATATATATATATATATATTTGCTGTAAAATACATCACACATTTTATTTTATAGCTTTTGCTTTCCCTAATAGAAAAGCGTCTGGAGGCCAGGGACTGTGCCCTACACGTCTTGTATTCCTGTCTAGCAAGAGTCCTTGCATGTAAAGTATGTCTTCTCTTTCATTCCACAGTCTCTTAATTAAAGCCTTCCTATGCACAGGGCATTACGTACAGCATTGTGGCAGGTTGTAAAGATGGATGAGCCACAATTGCTTAAGGGTTGGGAGACTTTCTTTAGGAATGTCCATTTAGCTCCCTAGGTTTTGATATGAATTGATGTTTTTTAAGCACTTCCCATCTTTTTCCAACCAAATTGCTGCCTTTAAGCCTCTCTCTCACCAAAATTCTGGAATCTCCACTATTGGAAAGGGAGTTTTAAATATGTATATCTGGTGACCTTACAATTTATTGCCCAAATCAGGACATTTTTGAGAACAGGAAAGTCAATAAGAAGAATAAAAACTGTGCAATTCTTAGATATACTTATTGATTGAATGGCAACTTGATCTTATTAGGTAGAGGTATTAAATAGTTGTATTCAGAAACTATTTTCAAAAAATAACACAAAAGTATATTAAAACCAATTTTTACAAAATTTTTATTATCTGAATGTTAAAAATGGCATAAGCAGAGTACTGAGTCTTAGTACATATTCACATACTTTAATCAGTTTCTTAGCCATATCCTCTCCAGTACCTGTATCACCCATAACCAAACCAAACCCGTTGCCATCGAGTCGATTCCGACTCATGGCAACCCTATAGGACAGAGCAGAACTGCCCCATTGGGTTTGCAAGGAGTGGCTGGTGAATTCGAACTCTTGACCTTTCGGTTAGCAGCCAAACGCTTAACCACTGTGCCACCAGGGCTCCAACACCTATAATCAGGTACTGATATTTTTTCCAAAGGGTGTGTTTTTTTCAGTATGGTTTCCTGTTTCCTTCTTTTTAATTTGTTCATAAAATTGACTGCAATCTTCTGAACAGTTACATAAATTTGAAAATGTAGCCACTTTCAACTAATGTGTGTCTCAAGACCATATCTTAATTGAAAAGATTTCTCTTTAACTGTTGTGGTACCTAGTAAGCGCAAATCAATCTCTGCTAAGTAAAGTACATTCTCAATTCTAATTTCTTTGTATTGAAATGAAGTGAAATCTTTCAGTCCAAGCATTTTCACAGGTGCTGTCCTTTTATAAACCCTCATTCAGAGTACCTTCCGTAAAACTTCGAGAAACCTATCATATATTTTCTTTATTTATGATTAATGGTTTCAATCAAATTTAGATACTGTAAAATTATAGGTCATCTTAATTTTAATCCATTTGGATACAAAATAGAATTTCGTCCAATGGAAAACAGTAGGTCCATCAAAAGATTCTCACTACAAGTTGAGATAGTCCAGAGCACAATTATAGAATTTCAAAATTAGATAATGTTTGTGATCTCATCATATGGTATGTTCAGTTCTTCTCTTTTTTGGTATGGTTTAATTTCAATATCTTCCTATTTGCAAGCTTTATTTTCAATCATTGCAATACCTAAAATCTGCAAACATTGAATGCTTTGATTTTAGAGTTCCAATAATGTTGAACCAAATGTTATCAAAACTTTGAGGATTCATTTACAAGAAAATTTAACTAGTGTAGGTCACTCAGACCTATTTACAAGTGATTCTTCAAAGAGCTGTCACTGGCAGTCTTTCAGATTTTATCACAAATTTAAAGAAATCTGTTCACTGTACAAAAGTGTTTAGCCTACTTTCTATATTCTCTACTGCAGGGGAACGCAGCCTCTATTTCCAGATATATCATATATACCTTGGAGTCCCGGGGTGGTGCAAACTGTTAAGTCTCAGCTGCTAACAGAAAGGGTGGAAGTTTGAGTTCACCTAGAGGTTCCTCAGAAGAAAGGCCTGGTGATTGACTACTGAATATCATCCATTTGAAAACCCTACGTAGCACAGTTCTACTCTGACACCCATGGGGTTGGCTGGTAAAACATATATACCTTACACCTTTAATTTTTCATGTTTACTACTGATTCTCACAACTGGCAGCCTCATGGGTTCATGCATATGAAGGCAGCAGTATTAGGCCATGGTACACATGGCTGGTACACCAAGTAGCAGGCAGGATCAGCAATATTGAATATTTCCCTGACTACCACCAAGACCACAATTTGGCTCTACCTAGCCAGTTATATCAGACTATATTTTGTTTTATCAGCTAGTACCCTGCATGCTGTCCTTGGAAGGAAAGGGTTAGTTACTTTTCATTTGCAAAGAATGGGGAAAAGAGTTATCACTGGTAGCATTTCAGATTTGCCCACATATTTAAAAAGAACTCTGATCAGTGCTAATGCATCTCACACACTGTTAAATCAGACCATGGCAGAAGCTGGAAACAAAACAATGAAGGCCTACCAAATCCATTCCACATTATTTTAATGCTATTATAAGTAATAGCGCTTTGTTTACCCACACGCACACAAGCACACCCCCCCCCAGCACACATCCTCCCATACACTTAGTTTATGTTAATCGAACTTGACTTAGAACTAAACTATAGAAAGGCTTTAATTGACATGGTAAGCGTAATGATAGAAACATCCAGCTTTAAACAATCTTTTAAAAGAAAGTTTATTTAAAGTTAAATATTGTATCTTTAAAGTGTCAGCTGTCTTTGCTTTTGTTCTTGAAAACAATCCTAAAAGTTTAGGCTTTTTTTTTGCTAATCAAATCTGTAAGATATGGGCCTTGACTTCTAAGAATTAATCCCAAAAGGAGATTTATTTTGAGAATCACCAGGCAAGGGTAAGGAAGAATCACTAGCTGTGGTTATTGAATAGCTGGTTACAATGCTCTGCCTTTGTCCCACAAGCTCCTAGATGATAAATAGAACAAAAACTCTCAGTAGACCCCAAAATTATACCTACAGTACATATGAATGCATGAATCTGAAATTCATATCCTAGTCCTGCCTCTTATATGTGGAAAGGAATTTAAAGAAGCAAGTTAAGATCCTCTAACATATATCTGTTCATCGAATTATCATGACGACTTTTTCCTACCTTTTCTTCGGTAGGTTTATGCATAGTTTAACTGACCTTCCAATGCCCAACCACAAAATCACCATCCACTCTTTTATCAGTTCTCCCATCCTGATAAATGAAGTTCATGAAGTATTCTCTGAACTACATTTTTAAATATCTGAGAACAGCTGAAACTGACTTACTAATAAGTTATGT